GTTGCCTGGCACCCAAAATTACAACGTTTTATTGCTGCAACGACGCCGAACGGCTTAAGCATTAACCCCAACAAAGTCAAGACGCTAGTCCACATCTTCCAGCGTGATAAGGAACGTCTGGGTGGTGGTGGATATGCCCAGTACCAGTCACTTGACTGCTACGCTTCCGACATTAATGAACTTACGTTTGTTCCTAACTCGTGTGGGCACGCTTATGTCAGTGCCGCGTGCACTGACGGCAAGGTTTACATCTGGGATACGGCGCAGGGTGATAAGCCCATCCACACGCTCTCGCATGGAAAACCTATCGAAGAGTACTATGGAGATCGCGAGAAGGAGGATACAGGCGTCAAGTTCACAGCGTGGAACACAAGTCTTGACCGTTTTTACACAGGATCCAGTGATGGTGTAGTCAAGGTGTGGAACATACGTAGGCTGAAGGAGCCTTTCATGCGAAACATCCTTACAGCACCAGGGCCTATTGCTTGGGGCGGTTTCTCTCCTGATACCTCGAAATTAGCGATAGGTGACGCCACTGGTCGCTGTTTTATCCTTTCTATAGATGAGCGCGATGCGCCGGAGTCGCACTTTATGACTCTGCCCGGCACTAAACGGCGACTCCGCCGTCCACAACCACTAATTCCGCATCCGGAGCCGGACCCACCCGGCGCGGAACACGGAGACGATATGGACATCGACTCGGAGCTTGAGGATGCCACATATGCCCGCCGTACTTATCTCGACACCCAATACATTAAAATCACTAATAACCCTGTCATCGGTGCCGTTCAAGGCCCTCGGTATTCTGAAACTAACCTCTTTTGCCGCGAGGCCCATTTTAACCAGAACCCCACCGCTCCTCTCCTTGCCGAGTTCGAGCGCTTCCAAAAGAACAGCGAGGCTGATAGTATCGGTAAGCGACGGCGTTCTGTACGTCGAGTTAAGATTCCTGCGTCGCCAGACGAGCGTCTCAAAGCCGTGCACGCAGAGAATAAGAAGCGGGACTTTAATCTGGAACAGCTGGAGAGGAGTGACATAGATAGTCTTGCGAAAGCCGGGGCATTGCTAAGTATCGAGGAAGATTGGGGCTTTGTATATGAAGAGCTCATAAGCCCAGACATGAATGCTCTGTAAAAAAGTTCATCTTGAAGTTTAAGGAGTATATAGTATAATAAAAGCACTATAGTATATAATAAATTAAGTATAAATATAATTCTTTAATTCTAAGTAATACTATAGTCTAAATATAATATATATAATGAGGGAAATTTTTTGTTATAACCACTGTAGCTCGGGGAGCTACAGCAGGGTATTAGGCTGTTGTAGGGGGCTTAACTGACCAGTGTTCAGTATAAGGTCAATCTTTTGGTTGTTGTGGCGCAACGGTCACCCCCTATCGTGCCTAACAGAATTAATTTTAAATTTTATAACAACTTTAAATGAAATATAAAAGATTTTAAAACTTAATATTTAATTTATACGAAAAAAAGTCTACTTAATAGGATAACTAATAATAATGATAAAGTAATATATATAAAACAACAGTTTAACTATCTTATTAGAGTTATATAATAACAATCTATTTATAGCGGCTCGCTGACAATCTAAAAAGAGATGCAAGCTTCACAGAAATTCCCCAATAGTGCAACAGTAATCTATAATGGGAACATACTAGACTAGGGGAAGTGTTTTGACTTGCAGTAGCTAACCATCATATTGGGGTTTTAGCGATTGACTCTCTGTCACTAATTGGAATAGGTCATAATAGATTGCGCAATTATTTTTATCTATTTCATGTTCAAACAACTGTCAACTTGTTGGTCGTCTCAAATACGTGATGTGCGCGACCCTCAACACAAGCCATTTTACAAACTCATGTTATCATATCAGAAGATTTTTGAACCAAAGACAATCCCATGCATCGAGCTCACCACGAGCAGAATTTTGAAACCAAATTTCCCAAAACGCCTTCTAATGCTTAGCGGTAACGGCCTCGCCGGTCACCTTCTCAACATAAGCCTTGGCCCTGTAGTGGACGCGGTTAGTATCGGTAGAAAAGTGAGCGATGTGGGCAGCACTTACATGTCGCCAAATGCAACCATACAGACGGTCTGCCAAACTCCCAGAGAAATACGGGGAGCAATACCACGGTACAGACCCTTGATACCGTTGCTCTCGTAGATGTACTTGAAGGTGTTGCCAACAGTCATCTTCTTGGGACGGTTGGGATCCTCCTTCTTACTCTGCATCTCAACACGGATAACCTCAATAGGTTGGTTCCAGGCACTGAGACCACCACCGAGAGCACTGGCAATGATCTTCTCACCAGGGGTGAGCTTCTCGTGCTCCTTCTTACCGGTAAGGGACTTAATCCAACCCTCGGCAAGACGGCTGAGACCGAAACGGCTACCCCAGTTGGTCATCTGGCGGATAGCGACGGCGTTGACACCCTTGTTGATACCACGAATACCCTCCTTGCGGTAGATCTCTGCGAAGGTCTGGAAGGTGGTCTGAGGCTTGACACCGGAGGCAGCGAGCTTGTGCTTAGTGATCTCGACTGTCTTCATGCAGGTGCAGAAACCCATAGTGGCATAAGCCTGGGCGACACCGCCAGTGACACCACCAAGGATACCACCACCAAACTCGGAGGCACCGGCGGCACGGGCGTAGTATTCGGCCTCGGAAGCGACGAAAAGGAGGACAGCACCCTTAGTGGAGGCTTCAATCCAAGCCCAGGGGATGAGGCCTTGGAAGACTGCAGGCTGTGTATTAGCAAGATGACAGGTAGGTGTTGGTCTGAGGACTATCACTTACAGCCCAGAGGACCACCACGGGCCCATACGCGTCCCAAAGCCGTAGCCATGCTGTCGCCTCTGTTCGCTGCCATAGTGGTCTTGACTACTTCCAAAGGCTATCAAGGCGTAAGCAAATGACCTCTTCATTCTGTATTAAGTTGAGCCTACCTGACCGAGTGTGGTAACCTCGAAAAGGTTGAGACCAGCGCCCAGAAGCAAGTTGGAGAACTTGATGGGCTTCTTCTCCAGCTTCTTATCCCCGATGGGGCCTGGAAGATCGGTACGAATGGTAGCCATAGCTTTGGGAGTGTCGTAAAATAAGGGGCCCTGACCAAGGGATTAGGGTGCTTCTTCGCTGAGGGGATTGAAAGTTGATGGATGCTTCGCAAGAGGTTGTAGAAGGGAAGAAAGGGGAAGAGAAGGGGAGGGGAGATAAAGCTATAGGCGTGTGCTGAGAAGGCTGTGTGGGGGAGGTACGTACTGTAGATTTGATGGATGCTGAGTCAGATCCAATAAAAATAGTTGAATGGGCAGGGAAAAGTGCTGAGCTAAAAGCTGAGCAGAGGAAAATAAGCTTGGGGAGGGGGAGAAGCCGCCTGGAGAAGTACCCGATAAACGGAAGGGAAATATGTACGAACAATGGGGATGGATGGATTTGCGGAGGTCGATGGCCGAGGTTCAAATGGGTATGGACATGCGCATGCGCGAGAAGACCCGAATCAAGAATTGAGTTATTCTCAGTAAGTTTTAGGCACATAGTCAGTCACATATTGTTTTGCATGTGTTTCGGTTGCCATTCCGTTGCTGATGAGGGGAAGGGAAAGCTATGGACAGCACGTTTATAAGGCTGACGACGCTATTCAACCGCTGGAAACCAGTACAGCTTACACCGCACTACCTGTTCTTGATACAAGGGAGAAAACGCCAATAGAAAACAATGATTGTAATTAATCTGCAATGCTGACCTTTGTCTCACATATAACTCGAATGGCGCTTCACGGAACTTTTCGCCTGTTGTGCACCATTATTCCAAGCCGACAGCTCGTAAACCGAGATAAGATCGGTTTTGAGCTGGATCACTCATGTGAAGTCGAAATCGAAATCCGGGGGTGGATGTCCTGGGGTTCAATGACCGGCAAAAAGAAGACCGACGGAAGTAGAAGACGGAGAGAGAAAAAATTTGCTTGTGATTATGGATATATCTAGAGTGTAACGAACATGTTTTTTTACTCTGTGCTCAAAAGATTTATTATAGCTATCACGCCACCATCACTGCTGAAGCTCTCCACGTCTGTAGTAGCAAAGTTCAGTCACAATGCTTCCATTACAGGTGTTGTGCTGAGGCTATAAGCATATTTCGAGCTCAAAACATCTCCTCAACAGCTTTTATTCACCACCGATCTTCAAAGAAGCACACAAACAACCGACGTCCATTTTCACCTTGAAAACATGCAGTTCCAACAAAGAATTCCATCCAGCCTCACCCGAATCCTTCTAGCTCCTCATTCGACAATATCAGCCACCCCCGAAGATCGCAGCTCTCACCTCCATTTCTATTCGAGTTTTCCCCTGTGGCGCCAAATCGGAAGAGCTCTCAACGCCCCTCCTCCACTCAACTGTTGAGAGCTGGCGTCCCTGTCTGCATGGAGATTTTGTCGGCGTTATCTCTCACCGAGACTTTACTTTACCTACATTACTTGACCTACCTATGAGTGAACAACTCTCCTCGTATTTTATGATACAGGGTTTCTATCCTATTACTGAGCAAAACAGAGTTTATGCTTGGATATTTAATAAGGAGCAAGCATATCCTGTTGGTGAGTTGTATACTATAGAGGCTGAGGCAGGTACAGTACTTTTTTTTTCGTGGGGGTCAACCAACCCGATTCAATGAGGCTTTAGAACAAACCGTCACGATTCGAAGAAAAGCTGGCCACCAGCGATGACAACAAGACCAATTAACAGTTGCAAAATTCTCAATTGTAACACGCAACACAGACAATGGATTCATAGACAAGATAGATATTGCAGATTAACTGTCAAATCATTTCATTTCAATCGGCGCTCCAGCGACGATTTGCTCATTACTAAACTAAAACAGTCCCATTGTGTTGTACAAATGCCATTGACTCGGCAATCCATTCTGTCCATTTCTTGGGCAGAACCCTCCCATCACCTTCTTTTTCCCTTTTGCTTCTAAATCGTTTACAGCTTCTTGACGAGCTCAGCCCACTTGTCAGTGGAGAAAGACTTGGGTCGCTCGATGGGGGCACCGAGAGCGCGGTCAATGATGAGCTGGGGAAGGACACCAATGGCACGAGAGACACCGAAGAGGACGGTGTAGTAGTTAGCCTCAGTGAGACCGTAGTACTGGAGGAGGACACCGGAGTGGGCGTCAACGTTGGGGTAGGGGTTCTTGGTCTTGCCGTGCTCGGTGAGGACACCAGGGGCGATCTTGTAGACCTGAGAGACGAGCTTGAACATGGGGTCGTTGGGCATCTTCTCTTGAGCGAAAGTGCGCTGAGCCATGTAACGGGGGTCGGTCTTTCGGAGAACGGCGTGACCGTAACCGGGGACGACACGGCCGGCGTTGAGGGTGGACCAGAGGTAGTCAGTGATGGCCTTGTCGCTAAGGTCATCGCCAACAGACTTCTTGAACTCGGTGAGCCAGTTAAGGACCTCCTGGTTGGCAAGACCGTGGAGGGGACCGGCAAGACCGTTAAGACCAGCGGCGAGAGAGAGGAAGGGGGAGCTGAGAGCAGAGCCGACAAGGTGAGTGGTATGGGCAGAAACGTTGCCACCCTCGTGGTCGGTGTGGATGGTCAGGTAAAGACGCATGAGCTCGACGAAGTCGGCGTTGTCGGCGAAGCCAAGCTGGTTGGCGAAGTTGAAGGAGTAATCCTTGTCCTTCTGGATGGGAGCAACCTTTCCGCCCTTGAAGACGTTCTGGTAGATACGAGAAGCGATGTTGGGGAGCTTAGCAATGAGGTCCATGGAGTCCTCAAAGGTGTAGCCCCAGTACTCCTTCTTGTTGATACCCTTGGCGTAGGCCTTGGCGAAGCTGGAGGTGTGCTCGAGAGCAGTAACGGCCAGGGAGAACTGAGCCATGGGGTGGAGGTCGGTAGGGCAGTGGTCGATGAGCTCCTCGACGAACTTGGGGAGATCGGAGCGGGCAGCCCACTCAGCGGAGAGGTCGCGGACCTGCTGCTCAGTAGGGACCTCACCGGTCAGGAGAAGCCAGAAGAGACCTGCGCAGTTCGTGTTAGCATTGATAGCGTACATTTCGGCGAACAAATTCTACTTACCCTCAGGAAGGGGCTCCTTGCCACCGGGAGCCTTGGGGAGAAGCTCCTGGCACTCGGGGATGGTCTTGCCACGGAATCGGATACCCTCCTCAGAGTCGAGGACGGAACCCTCCCAAACGAGGGCCTTGATGCCACGGGCACCACCGTAGACCTGGTCAAGAGTGACCTTGTCAATAACCTTGGAACCATGCTCCCTGCGAGAACGTTAGCTTGAAAGTTCAATTGATTGTAGGTTTGTCCTCGATTCGCAAAAGTAGGCATGAGGCTCAGGGTGGATCCAAGCTTCGGCCAACATTGAACCGAGGGAAAAGAATGCGACTGACTTTCGGAGGGCCTTGACCTGCTCAATCTTCTCGGGCAGAAGCTCGGCGAATCGCTCCTTCAAGGTCTATGAGGTTGACAATGGTTAGCATGCTGTTCTTGTATCGTGTCCTGGCTACCTTTGTGTTTGCCAATGGGTCGTGACGTTCGTGGGTAGCAGGATTCTAGGACTCGACTTTATCCGAGGTTAAACAAAACATACCTGGGTCTTGGCGGAGTAGCATCGAATGGCGTTGAAGGCAGAGCCATTGACGGGAGAAGAACGGAGGGAAGCCCGGAGGGCAGCGTTGCTGAGACGAGCGACTGAAGCCATTGTGAAGGGAGGATGAATATGCAGACGAAGAGACAAGAAACAGGCGGGTGTGCCGGAGGGAAGGAGAGAGGTATATGAAGGATGTGGAGGGGAGAAAAGTTATGGGGAGGAAGAAGAAGTAGTTCAGGCAAGGTAAGCCAAGACAGGACAAGACAAGACAATAGGTCAAAAAAAGGCGCAGGCAGGCACCTCAGAACGGGACTTGATGGAGGGATGCACAAAAATTACCTTACTGTGACATTGCCTCTCACCTTGGCTCTACCTTAGCTGCGAGTACCTTTACCTCTTTGCCTTAACCGTCCAGGCCCAGGCTAGGTCTCATTCAGAACTTCGGGGACCGGGGGTACGGGGGGTCATGGATGGATGAAGCATCAAGCGGAGCGGGACTTATGGGGCAGATAGCCCAGTTTTCCCTCTACATTGACGGATTTACAGGGGGTCGCCTAACACATTTTTTCTCTCTTATGTGCCTCTGCCTCGCTTGTCAGGGGTGTTGTGTTGTTTCTGGGGACAACCGTTGTTATTTTCTTTTCTTTGGCTTCTGTCATGAAGACGACATTTCGACAGCTACCTATAGCTTGTATGGTGTACCTCTGCGGGGCAGGTTCAGAGCTCCAGGCCATTCTTAGCTGAGGTCACTGCGTGTTTGAGAGCTGACTTTTGGTTCAGTGCAGTGCAAACTAATCTGAGCAATGATACGGTACTAAGGTTAGTTGTCTCGATCACATTACATCACATCAGAGCTCGCTACAGCTCGCTACAGCAAAGCACAGCACCCTCTTTTTGACGTGCCCAGCTATCATTCCGTCATCAATTGTTTGCTGGGTAGGTAGTATTTGCCAATACTTTTTGTTGTTATCAAAACTACCACTTGTAGGCTCTCCCAAGTAACTCGGAGTGCCTCATCGGATATACATATGTATAACAAAGCTACTAAGGTACATACTAGAGTACTATCGGATGGATCCATTCATTGCCATGCTGTCCTCTTCTTTTGATGAGGTTGCACAGGCCAGGAAAAAAATAACTGTGCTACTGCTGAAGAGGAGCATCTACCGCGGGGCCACCCCAACCTACGAGCCCCAAAATTTCGGTCCAATCCTTGTCCCTCCTCTCCCGTTGCCCGCCTCCTCCAATTCGATACACTTCAAGTTCAAGCCCCCAAATGACCGAACAAAGAAATAAAAAGGATGGGACCCCAACCAACCAACCAATTTACAGGTCTGGTTCTCCGTAGCTTCGATCTGATTCAAACCAAAAGAGAGATGGCTTACGGCTGCATCTCGGCACCAGATTCATTGTTTCTTTACCATGGATGTCTACAAGTGACTATCAGAACCTAACTTAAAGTAGCGCAAATGTCAATTCGACATCTATCCAACAAGGTTTTATTCCTATTGTCCATTGTTTATTTACATTTTCTGTCGAGTCCAGGTCCATCATGACAACTCCGGAGCTATTGGGCTGCTGTTCGCTTAGTCGCTTGTTTTCCGGTTATCCCATCTATGATAATGCACCGTACATAGTAGAAATATTGTTTGGCTCCACTGAAGTGGGGATAGCATCCCAACGGATCACTCTCTTTGGCTCATGCTTCGGGGGACCTCGGTCATGCTGGCAGTTGTCAAAATTTGACGTCAGACCCTGAGATGGGTTGTTAAACATTGACACTTGATGCAACGGATAGGGCCAGATAGAGCCTGTTACCTAGGGTGTGACAGAGGGTGCAGAAGACTAAATATCATGAACCACCGATGCTCCTTCGTGTTTAGTCTCACTTCAGCGGTCAGTAAGTTAGCATAACCAACTTCTTAGCAAAGTCGCCCGGCAACCACGATGCCCCATCGCCGGGCCTCCGAGTTGAGCGCCGCAGAACTTCGGAGTCCCGAAGCTCCCATTCCACCGGATAACTGATGGTTTCATTTACCGTACTGATCATCCGAAAGTTTTTGATAGCCACCCGAGTTCGAGAGGAGGACAATGCTTTCCACAATTGGACTGTGAGGCCTTGTTTGTGCCCTGTTTCTTTCAAACACTCAACTCGAATCGGTATTTCCGATCGCCCGGTCACCTTGGCTGGTTGTGAACCACCAACATCGGTTACTCCTGACTTATGATCTCCTTTGTGATACCGTCTTTTGGGAATAAAGTAGCTTGGCATTTCTTGTCAATTTCTGTCATGTGTTCTAAAATCATGGCGTATGTGCCGTGGGCCCTTGGGATTATATTATTAATATTTAGCTATCTGTTTCACCAACCGCTTCTAAAGTCCCGGCGCCTACGATGTGCATGGTGCATTTGATACCAGAAAGTCTCCTTTATTGCAGCGGTGTTTAGACCAGGCGTGTGCCCTTGACTACTTTTTTACGTACATGATATGTAAACTGAACTTGAAATCGAGCTGTTACGGGATTGCCTTCCCTTTGAGAATGGTCTTTGACCATGTTTGTTTCTGTTGGTCAAGGCTCTATCACGCACTAACACGGAACTTGATGCGGATTCAGCACGGATATAATACGTTAGACAAGGGAAGGCAACAGCTACCACCTTGAGTAGGGGCTATTATAAGAGCTAAACAAAGACGCACTTGAAATCTGAAGAATGTTAGCAAACTAACAACACTGACTGTCTTTTGAGAAGTGAAGTCCACGTCCAGCAACGAATGACTGAGGCTATCGGTTTACTGCTTGGTTTATTACTTTCACGTGACTTTGATGTTCTGTCATTCAAGATTTTTTTTCCCTGACACCGGATAAACTAACAGCGGAACGGGAGAGGGTTTTGGCAAGGAAGTGTTAAAAGGGCTGCCCCACCTGTCACGGTCACTCGCCTCAGCTTTTCTCCTCCCACTTCATCATTCACTCCATCTCGTCCTCCGTTCGCGACATTCATCACATCACCTCATCAGAGTGAACTCTCGACGACGACAACGACAACGACTTCTCTGTGCTGCTAGTCCAGAAATTGTTTCACGTGCTTTTATTCATTTATTTCTCGACTTTTTGTCTCCCGAGACTGACAAACCTCTTTGCTCTGACCAACAGGACAGGACAGGACAGTCTTATCTCTCTGCCTATTAGGTCTGGCTTGGCTCTTTGTGCCGCTGCACAATCTTGTGACTCGCTCGTCGCGCTTCTGACGCAAACAAACAAACAGTAGAAGAGCTTTTTATCGCACAAGTCGTACCGTATCGTACTCTTGAGGCCTGCCTCCGCTTGTATTATTTTGCGCCGCAGATCTTCAGCTGATAACCTACGTACCTACCTTATTTGTTGGGCTGCTCTCGTACTACTTCTCCGCCGGTCGCGACTGCGTAAAAAAAAAAAAAAAAAATCTCTGCCCGCCCACCTAAGGAAGGACCCGCTTAAGCTTTTTCTTCGTACCTGAACATCAGCAAAGAAATTTTGCGCCGGGGGATATATTCTTCTTCTGCTATCTCACTTTGCTCCTCTTCCGTGCTGCAAGCATTTTATCGCAAGTGGTGACGCCCACTTCTGGATTTTCGCTCTCTCGGACCTTTCTGGAGTGCATCTTGAGGCATCGCGCGTAGTTCGTGGACTAGTCTACCGCAAACAACATACCTGCACTGCGTTACCGCAATCCAAACCAAACCAAATCATCATGGCTTCCGCTGTCGCGGACTTAGAGGCTGGCCTTCAGGCCATGCTCAATCTTAAACCACCAGGCGTATCTGGATCTCGCATCACCAGTTTGACTTCGCTTTGCGTTTCCAACATTCAGGTAAGATTCCACCAAGCACGCATTGCATTTTTGCATTTGCTGGTTTACTCGCCAAGCCAATCAAATCAAATACTAACTACTCGTCCTTGCAGTCTGAATCAGTCCTTATTCAAAAAATCTTTACACATTTCAAGAAGGCTCCTGGAACACACAAGTTGGGGGTACTCTACGTCGTAGACTCTGTAACCCGAAAATGGCTCGAACAAGCCAAGTCGCAGGCGCAGGCAATAGACAGCTCTGCTCCGGATGGAACCTATGCCGCTGGCGTCAACCGAGTGACAGAACTCATGCCTGTTTTGATGAATGACATTCTGCAATCCGCCCCCAAAGAGCAAAAGGTACGCATATTTGACAACTATCCTTGTAGCCGGGAATTCGCGAGTGCTGTGCATATACCAAGCATCGTGGAGCACCTTGCAAACCGCCCTCACTGGAATCCGTCTCGCTTCTTGACATATTTGACCCGTACTATTATTTTGGATCGTAACTCACATATAGTCCACTGTGTAGGACAAGATTAAGAAACTCCTTGACATCTGGGAGAAGGGTCAGACATTCCCTACACCAATGCTCGAGTCTTTCAAAGAAAAGCTCAACGCACCACCGCAAAGTACGTTTTCCACAAAAGTAGCATCTCGTTTGGCGTTTTCCGCTCATGCGGCAATGCTTCGTTGTCTGGTATGAGCATGTAGTCTAACACATGTGATGTTATAGATGAGTCGACAACTCCTCCTGGTAGCCCACCTGCGAACGCTCTCGGTTCAGCTCGAGGCAGCGCTTCTGCTACTCCTGCTCCTTCAGCACCCGCTGCTCCTCCAGCCGCTAGTGGTACATCTATTCTCGAGGCTCTAGCTAACATCGCTCGTCAAAATACGAGTGCTCCCCCGGCTAACCCCCCTATGCCAGCTCCTACAGCATCGTATAATATGCCTGCTTCTGGGACACCTCAGCCAGTGTCATCTGCTATGCCGCCCGTATCGTATCCCTCGGCATCTCAGCCTGTGAGCATGCCTCCTATGCCTTCTATGCCGTACGGTATCCCGCACATGGCGGCCCAAAATGGATATGGAGGCTCTCCTATAAACAATCCGAGTAACCCGCCCCCTAACCCGCTCAACGGGGCCTTGGCTGGAGCCGCTTCTGCAGCCCCTGGTCTTGGCCTTGATCCAAAAGCCCAGCAGCAGATCATGTTGATCAAGGCGCTGGCTGACCAAGGTGTTCCATTTGATAAAATTCCTGCTCTGATCCAGAGCATGACT